TTTAAACTCTTATCACATACTTATCTTTTTTTTTTTTTTTTTTCAACTGTTATTACTACCTTTTATGCATATACGTAGGAAATTAAAAATAAAAAACATATTTTTAAAAATTTTGGACTCATAACATTTTTCCATTTTTATTTTTCAAATATTGTCCATATCAGTTACTTCCCCTCATAATTTATTTGTACATAGAGATAGAAGTTAATTCTTTTTGAAGTTATACGCTGAATGCAATCTTAAATCTTTTCCGATAAAACCTTTTCCTCCTGTATTCATGTATTACGCAGTTTTGTAAGTTTATATATATATATGTATATGTGTAAGGACTTACCTGCAGCTGCAAGCCAGCAGAAATGTCATGGCAGGAAGAACGTTGCTGTTGTTTGCTTCATTCCCGTGTGCAGTACAAGTTCTGGTCCATCACAGGTAGTAACAGTTGATTTATTAATTAATAACTAATCATAATCTTAATTGGGGCAACGGAAATTGCATTACAACAAATTGAGCTTTCTTACTCCAATAATCCGACTAAGAATATTTTAGCAAGATCGGAAGTGTCATCTTTAGTCTTGTTTTCCTATCTGCTAAACGCGTCAAACACATCAAATTTGGCTATACAGGTGAAATTAATATTCATATCCGCAATGCGCAACATTCTTCCTGCCATGACATTTCCACTGGTTTGCATCTGCAGGCAAGTCATGCTTTTTTTTTTCCGGCTTCCAGAGGCAGACACGCCTCTCTCTCTCCCTCGCTCTCTCTCTGTTTCTGGTGGGTGCGCGAGTTATATTCTCAAAACGATGTGCCGTTTTGATGTTTGCAGTTCTGATTCCCCGCTCTCAGAACTGCGTTGTGTTGTGCTTCTCTTCTCAAAACGATGCCGTTTTAGGCGTGTCTCTGCCTCTGGTTATATTAATAAATTCTTCCAAATTCAAGTAAAAAGCCTATTAATAATATGATGAAAATGCAATACATAATTGAGGAGCGTAAATTTCTGCTTGGCTTTGATATGTCTGAAGCAGAAAGAGAGAGAAGCAAAAAGCTTCCTGAAAATGTTTTGGTAAAACCATGAATCACCGAGTACTAGTTTTTTGTGCCTTTGCTCAACACTCATTGCTTAGGTGGTTATGAGTTACGATTTAAGTTCTATTTTTTTTTTTTAAATAAAGTTTAGAACTTGTGAATTATCTAATTTTCTTAAAAAGTTAGACATAAAAATATAAACATTAATTTCTTTTTTCAAAAAAAGAAAGCTTAAGAATTATTAAAAAAAAAATGAATTATTTAAGAAAATTTAGATAATTGGTGAAAAACTCGTTGGGTTTTAAATTCTCTAAGTAATTAAAGTTGTAATGTCTGCACTCGGAATTTGACTCGAAATTTATTTTAACATTCTAAAATGTATAAAAAAATATATTTTTGAAATTAATAAATTATAATTTAATGTGGAATTATGAAAAAGTAGGTTATGGATGAAATTGAAACCAATTTTAAAAAAAAAATGTGAAAATTTAAGTTCGAATGGTGTTTTTGAAAGAAAAATCAGAAATTGTAGGTCAGAATGCAAATAAAAGAAATTTGGCCACGTAGAACTGCCCAGTTAGCAGCCTCGATGAATCAGAGTGCGCCGCGTGGTAAGGCATGTTGACTCGTTGCCTCGTGGGAGGCCATGTTGGCGATTCGCGTGCCCTGCGATCGGACGATCCAGAAGCGATCTCGCGCGTGGACGGTCTGAATTTGTTTTTTCCTTCAGCGCGATCGGACGGTCGAGATCAAACGTGATGAATGACCTAGATTCGTTTTCTCCTTAGGCGCGATCGAACAGTCGAGACCAAATGCGATGAACGATATAGATTAACGCGAGATGGGTATAAATATTTCGCATCACACTAAACCGAACTCTAGCCGCCAGCCTCCCACCGGAGAAGAAGAACCAATCACTGGAGAAGGGAGTCGACCGCCGACCGCCACCGCACCGGAGCCACATTCGACTGTCAAAAAGGTAAAAATTCTCATACCTTCTCGAAATTCGATTTCGAGCACCATTGTAGCCATATTGGAGCAAAACGAACGGTCGGTGAGCCGAAAACCACAGGCGAAACCCGGCGCCGCCGCCGTGGGCAAGACCCACAACCTCCTCTAATGAGCCTCTTTTCATTTTTCGTTTCGTGCAATTTTTCTACCGTTGTGTTCATCGTTCTATTTTTACAGGTTGATCGAAGAAAAAATTCAAGCCGCAAAGGTGAGCCGATGGAGCCGCCACACCAGGAAAACTCCACCACCAATAAGTTTTCGTTTTCTGATTTTTTCGGCCAACCGAGGCTCCTAACGTATTTTTCACAATGACATGTATAAAGTCAGCCGAAATCGGCCAAAATTGGTTGAAAATGGGTAGGTCGCAAGCGATGGTGCCGTCGCCAGAGCACGACGGTGTCGCTGTGTCAGAACCTTGAAATTGACCGGAAAGAATTTTTAACACTGATTTTGAACTTTGGGGGTATTTTTAGGTATGTGAAGCGTGGTTTAATCTCTGTAAGAAAATTCAGAAAACTCGGGAACCGCTAGTAGGCGCAGTAGAAAGTTTGCTGTTTCAGGATCCCTCACCCTTTTCTCCGTTACGGCTAATTGAAACTTAATAATTAATAATTGTATGTTTTTATGAAAAATTAGAGAACCTTAAAAGTAATTATAGGTCACTAGTAGAACCGGAACCGGTTAGTTCATGGTCGTTTTGATTTCTTATTTATTTTCCTATATTGCTTATATTTGGTTACTATTATACTATGCGTAACTCAATTGATGATTTTTAGGGTCTTTTTGGTTATCTGGTAATTTGTTTCCCCTACATTGTGTGCCAGTATTTCGGTCATTTATTATTTGGCTGTGTTAAACTATATTGTTATCGAAGTGAACTGTGAGTATAAAATAAAATATGATTATTGCGTGGTTGATTGTTGCACTGATGGAAATCTGTATGGAAAAGGACAGATGGGCCTGGTATATATGAAATCCTACCGTGAATGTTATCTCAGTCAGACGGAGCTGGGAAGTCCCTTACCAGTAAGGTTTGGGAGATATGGTTCACCTTCATACCGGATAAGATATGGGGATGGTCGGTTATTTATTTAATTGGATATTGGGTTCAAGAGTAGGAGGGCATCTCTATGGACCCTCAAGTATATCGGTAAGTGGGTAAAAATATAAAATGATCATTTTTTATCATCTTATATGTAATAAATAATAATGCATGAATATGAATTTTGATAAGTTATTATTGGAAAAGACTTGTTATATATATATATGAAATAAATAGCTTTCTTTATAGTAAATGAATTTACATTAAATTAAGGGCTCCATTGGTTATTTTTCTAATTTTTATCAATCTTCAGTTTTTTGTATCTGTGATTAGTGTGATATTCTTATTGAACTAGTGTAGCTCACCATTTTATTAACTATTTCAGTTCAAGAGTACCAAGATCCAAATCCCAATTAACAAGAGGGTTGTGAATAGTTCACCACCTGTACTCGCTTCAAAAGCTAGTGAAGGTCGTTCTAGGATGCTTAGTGATTTGTTTTTCATTTATTTCTTTGATTTCCATTTGTTCTTTTAGAAGGGAACATTCCCATAACCCTATTGGATATTCTAAATTATTGTGTAAGGAATTTAAACCCTAATTCTATTATTTTGCTTCCGCATTTAACTTATGATTTTATTTTATCTAAGGTTTCGAGTTTTTATAGTTGGTATCAGAGCCACGTTTCTCAGAACTATTCCTTACACAAAGACCTAAGGAAATACAAAAAAAAAAGAATTATTACTCAACCATTCCGTATGAAATGCAGGTACAGATAGATGATGAGAGGAATACCCCCACTAAACTGAGCAGCCCGAGAGGGTTCACTTCGAGAGGATATTGACCGACTATTTGAAATGCTGGAGAGACTCATCGCTGCCCAGCAGGCCCGGGAGGAAAGAAGGGAGATACTTGACCCTCCTCCACTGCCCCAGTTTGAGCCACTCCTGTAGCGAGAGGATCCTGAGCCATCTCGGTACAATTATGCTCCTCCACAATATCACCCGAAACCACCATAGTACAATCCAGTGCCTTTACCATATCATCTAGTACCACCACAAGGCCATCCGGTCCCTCTCCAGCACAATACAACCCCTCTTCCAAGGGACCCAGTTTCACCCATGATGTACCCAGACTACATTGAGAGGTATAAAAGACTAAACCCATCTACTTTTGTAAGGACATCCTCATTTGAAGAGACTGAGTACTTTTGTAAGGACATCCTCCTTTCACAAATCTTGGGGTGGTTCCCGAATAAAGAGTTATACTTGCCACCTACATGCTGGTGGGAGAGGCAGATCACTGGTGGCAGATCAAGTAAGCCACCTTGTCCGTTTCAGTCACTTGGGAATAGTTCCTAATAGCCTTTAATGCAGAGTACCTCCTAGAGCGTATCCGACATTTGAAGAAAATAAAATTTGCATACCTAGTCTAGGGTGATATGACTGTGTTAGAGTATGCACGAAAGTTCTTAGAGTTGGATAAGTAT